TTTACACATTTTGATGTCTAGTTTTAATCTTCAGTTCCTATGAAGGTGTTTCGTGGGCTTCCATCAGTCCGACAGCATCATCGAAAGTTTATGCTATCTCTTTATTCAGAAATTTCCAAGTGGGATTCCATTTCCTCAGTTTCTTAGTCTTCTATGCTCTGTGGTCTTATCATAGGTTTGCACCAAAGTCTTATGCAACACCGGTTATTAACATTCCTCTATGTACATATATCATGTAATATTACACTTCGCATAAATGCCCTGAGCTCCCAATGTCAGTAGAACTCCAACTTGGTGTACCTGGGTTACAGCTGCATGAGGCCAACTGATCAACAGAAGACAGTTTCCATATTACAGATATAATTTTCAAATTTCATCATAGGTAGGATTTGAACCTTAGACCTGCCACTTGAAGGATGACAACCCAACCATTATACTAGAATTGCCATCCTCAAAAAAAAATAAGTATTATATTTTTATATAATAATTTTTTATTTATTTTAAATTTAACAAAAAATTTAGATAAAGAATTATAATTAAGCTATACAAAATTAATTAATTAGTTTTCATAACTTGGCTGGATTAAATTTAAAAGCTTATAAAAAAATTTTTTTATATATTTTAATAACCAGGTAGGTTTTTAAAAAATTTTATAAAATTTATATATAAAAAATCAAAAAAAAACTGACTAACCAGGTTTGATCAAAAATTTTATATTATGAAAACCAAGATATTAAATTTGTATAGTCTTATTAATAAAAACAAAATTTTTTAAAGAACTTTTTTAATTAATAAATAAAAAAAAATAAAAAATTTAAAAAAATTTTTTTGATTAATAAATAATTTTTTTTTTAAAGATTATAACAATATATAAAATATACAAAATATTTTAAAAAAATAAAATAAAATCATTTATAATTTAATTATATATTTCTATAATTATAAAAAAATATTTAAGTAAAACTTAAAATAATTAGTTTAAAGAAAGTTAATTAGTTTATAAGCATTAGTAAAAAATATATATATGCAAAATAAGGTTTTTTAAAAGTTAATAAATTAAATATATTGTGATTTTAATTGGTCTAATTGAGTGTTGCTAATTATATTGCAAATGTTTACTATTTATTATTTATTATATAATAAAAAATATAATATATAAAAATAACTTGTCTGAGCTTCTAATCTTAATATTTTATAAATATAAAATTCAAATATAAATTTTTTCTGTATATTCTACTTGTAAAAAGTTAACTGAATTTTAATAAAGATAGAAACATGGCCTCAATTTAATATTAAAAAAAAAGATATAATATATAATATTGCATCAAGCAAAATTTTTATATAATAAAAAAATTATGAAATTTAGATTAAAAAATAAAACTAATAATATAAGAATTACATATACTTCAAAGGAATGAAAGTTGAATTCTATTTTAGTAATATATTATTAAGATTGCTATTGTAATCTTGATTCAATGCAAGAATTATATACATTAATATTCAATAGGTAATAATGTTCTTTCAGTTGGATTTGAACTTTCAATCTTGCGATTGTGACCTGAACAAGGCTCTGTTAGGACCATGATTATAAATGATCTTTGAGAAGTCCCTTTCCATTAAAAGAACAATCTGAATGCAGTCTGCCAGCATAACTACAGGGTTGTGGACAACCAGATAAGGTTAAAATTGAGTAAACCCAACTTAAAGGATCAAAATAACAAGGACAGTAAAGACAGAGGAAACTGTGAGGCCATGCCGATAAGGAACTGCGGACTCCGAAATCGGGGAGTCCTACACCATGGGACCAGGGGCCCGTGATATCACTAAGGCACTGAGGGGCTGCAGGTGATGTACGCAGAAACGAAATGTGTTTAACTCGCAGGGACCGAATAATGTAGAGACCAACGGCCATCCATTGAATGATAACTCTGGCCTTAGAGAGTGAGAGAAATCCTAAGGTGTCTAAGTACCTTCAGGATAGCGGAGGGAGGTAAAATAAAAAAGGTAATAATTAATTGAATTTTTTTTTTTAGATAATACTTCGTACAAGATCAGAATAAAGAAGTTGCTATTGGTATAGTGATAGCTTAAGCTTTTTTTTTATAAATTCATGTAGTTAAAATAGCTGAGAATTTATTTTTCCTAATACGAACAAAATGAATCTATATTTTTATAATTACTCTGTGGTTATAAATGGTATAAAATAGAGTAATTACTTATTTTGATTTATCATGAATAATTCTTTTAATTAAATTCCAAATTTCTTGTCACTATTTCTGTTCTTAATTCCAAATCCACCAAAGTGTAGTACACGGGTCACTTAAGTATTGGCTTCCGTATGGTATGACTTGGATAACCAACCGATGAATGCTTATTTTTATTTTTACTTTATTATCGCATATATATTTTATTAATAAATAAATAAAATCTGAAAATATAATGTTTGTAAATAATGAAGTATCATAAAAGGTTGGTTAATATACTGTAATGACTTTGGACGAAGCATAAATGCGTAAATTTTTATAATGTATTGCTTTGTACTTTATTTTAAATATTAGACAAACTGCCCCTGTTTTTTCTATCTCGCATAAATGATTACCGTTAGATTATAAGATATACATGACCGAGAATTTGAAAATGATATTTGCGTTAAAATAAAGAAAATGGATACCCATAGGATTCCATTCTTTATTTCATAAAATTGTTACTACGTAGAACAATAATACAAAATAAAATAAATGCATTCATGATGCGAATACAAATCTAGAATTCTTTGTGCACTTTACGACTTAAACAACTTAAACAATTTAAACAATTTAAACAACTTAAACGACTTAAACGACTAAAATAGAGCATATTCTGTAAAAACTTTATCAAAAAGGATTTTTTTCAAGAACATCTTCAGAATTATTGATCGGACTCACTTTATAATGCTTTAGATGTAAAGTTTTGAATTTTTAAAATAACGTACCAAAAAATCAAATCGATATTTTTTCATCGATTACCTAATAAAAAAAAAAATCTTTAAATAATAAATACTCAATAATTAATATTAAATAATAAATACATTATCTAATGTTTGAGATACCTTGATACCAAAAATGATTTATGTTGATTATCGTTATACATATGTAAATCGATATTTAGGGGAAATCGGTATTTTGCAATTTTAATGCAGTGTAACAATACCACTTCGGGCAAATTCAAGTGTATAATTTGGGCCGGACAACACAAATTTGGCCAACCTGAAATAAACAGAAAAAATTACATTACTGATCACGTTATATCGTGTTACACCAAATCGTGCATTATGATTGGCCAATCTTGGTAAATCGATACAAATTGTTCATTGTCCCTGCTTGGTACGTACACAAGTAGAATTAAATTTCTGCATGGTCTTTATGTAATAAATTGAATCGGAATAAACAAGTAGTAAGCTGACCATGATTTTTAATTATTCCAACTATAAGTAGTAAGCTGATTAAATGTTGAAACCTAGAATTAAAAACTTAGATTAAAACTTATGTTAAAACTCATGTTAAAACTCATGTTAAACTCAATGCTAAACTCAGAGCAAATTGAAATAGACATATGTGCGTACGTGTATGCATTAAAAAAACAGTAGTTTATACGTACAATTTAACATTCATTGTTCTATTTTGTTAACACGTTTACAATCTAAACTATATTTAGTGATTATAAATGCTATAATAATTTTAGTAACACAAAATTTTTAGATTACAAATTTACCCGGAGAGTTAGTCCAGATGATAGGATATAATAGGTTATTTGAATATTAAAAAGTCGTAAAACAAGGATTAAATAAATTAAATACCCGTGTAATAATTAGTAATGTAACCGGAATTATGCGAACTTATAAGAAAGAATTTAATATAATGACCACATTTGACGCATTTGACATTCTTATAATTTAAAGTGTGTTAATTTAATGAAAAGTTATAAAGTTCCGAAAATTAAAAATCATTGAAAATAATTAAAAATATTAAAAAAAAAGAATGTCAAATAACGTAAATAATGTGAATAACGTGGATTTTTAATATAACTATTTTTAGAAGAAATTAAAATCAGTGAAACATCATTATGCAACTTCTTTTTGTGCGCAGTTCTCTAATTGGGTTATTTTAAAAAAATATCGGTATGTGCAAATGTGTTATTGGAATGATTCTTGAAACCCTGTAATTCATATAATTCATATGATTCAATATAATTCATATAATTCATATAATTCATATGATTTAATATAATTCATATGATTCAATATAATTCAATATAATTTAATATGATTCATATAATTCAATATAATTCAATATAATTCGAGTAGTTTATTGCAATTTTTTTTTTTACTGTAATCAACTGCAACTCATTACTTTAATTATAATAGTAAAATGCATAACATCGGATACAATAGTCCAAAAAAAATTTTTTTCAAATGCAAAAAAAACAAATTTTCGTGTTACCGTTACAATTGCTCGAGCTCGGCTTTAATAATGCGTAGTAGGATTTAACTAAAAAGGAAAGTAATTACTGAAATTACAACGAATCCGAAAAAGTCTTTGTCATTGCATTATTTGCATTGAAAGGCGTTTACTCAATGAAAACTTTTTTTTTTTATTTATGGAATTTCTTTTCACTCTTACCAAATTTAAATCACTTGTGTATGGTTATGATGAAACACTAAGCAAAAAGGACGGCCCCTTTCCCTTGTTTATATTTACCATTTCGGGGAATCCTTATTATACATCCTCAAACATACGATCATCCAAATATTTATATTCCATCTTTTCATATATAACATGAATACATGATATTTATAACCATTTTTGAATATCCTAATCAATATTTATTTATTTAAAAAGTCGTTAAATAGCTCATCTCACCTCACTCACAACTTTTAAAATTCCTTTCTTTTTTTTTTACTCTTATATACTTATTATACTGTATATTCACCAAAAAATATTACTACGTAAAAGAAAGAAAGAATGATAACTAATAGTATTATTGCGATGGATATCATTCCAGATAATGAAGGAAAAGTAGTAATATATGGTTCACCTAATAAGGATAATACACATAAAGTTTCCGGTAAACTTCGTATAATCCTCTCAAGACCTCAAAAAATAAAGTTTATAACAATTAAATTAAAAGGAAAATCCGAATATTCAGATTGGGAAGACCAATTTTCTTCTTTAGATATAATTAAAGTTGAAAAAGTTCTTTATGAAAAAGAAACTTTACCTATAGGTGTAACCGATCTTGATTATGAATTTGAAGTTCCTGGTAATTTACCACAAACTTATAGAACTAATTTTGGAGCAATTTTTTATAAATTGGTTGCCATGTTTCAACCTGTTTCATTAATGTCAAAATATACTAGAGTTGAAAAAGGAATTAATGTTTTAAGACATTTTTTACCTTGTAGAAGAGAACTTTTACCTGCACCACCTTCAAAAGTTTATAAGGGTCAAAGAAAGGATATTTTAAATTTTGAGTTGGAACTTCCTACAGTCATTTGTGTACAAGAGAAAAGTTTATTAGTCAAATTAAAATTATCTCCGACAAGCGATCAAGGTCGCATAAAGAAGGTTTTATTTGAGTTGATTCAATCTGAAAAATACAGGTATTTATAAATGAAATAAGATACCTACCTTTAACTTAATATTACATATTTAATCTTAATAATATTAATAATAACTTTAATATTAATTTTAGTGTTAGGCCAAGTCAAAAAGACTTAAACGAATATTACATTGATCCTACACAAGTAATTTCGATTATTCCATTAAATGGATCATCGTTAACAAAACGTAAACGAACCTATCCTATAACACCGACAACACTCAGTATTCGTAATGAAGATGATAATTGGAATAATCCATTATTTTATAACCTACCGTTTGCACAATATCTTGGTGCTTCTCCTCGTAAAGCTCGTTTAAAGGCTACTCTTAAATCTCCGTTAATGAAAGTTAGACATAAATTTAAATTTGTAGTGATGTTTGAAGATGAAAGTGAAGCTGATTTGGAATTAGTATTTCCAATTATTATTACTACTATTCCCGAATACAGATTGGAACCTTGGTTGGCTGATATTTTGGGACATGTCGACCTACCTCCTTACAGTGATTCTTTTGCTTTAAGAGGACCTTCGGAATTTATAAATGTAGATAATGAAAGAAATGAAAGAAATGAAAGAAATGAAAGGAATGAAAGGAATGAAAGGAATGAAAGGAATGAAAGGAATGAAAGAGATGATAGAAATGAAAGAGGTTCAAATGATCCAGATAAACAACAACCAAAACTAAAACAAAGGAGGAGTCAACCTTCATTAATAAGTCGTTTATTACATCGTAATGAAAACAATTCTCTTAAAAAAGATTCCGGTACTTCAACATCTAGTACACCTTCTACTTTTTCAAATAATCATGAACTTATATATGAAGAAAGTCCGGATACTTCAATATCTTCAATTGGACATATGAATCCAGTTTCTTTCTTGAACATGCCTGATGATGATGATTGGTTTGGAAATTCTGCTTTTGAGATTCGTAGTGAACCCACTAGTCCTAAATTAAGTGGATTAATTCCAGCAGCCTTGACTGTTCCAAGTGATTTATCATCATCATCAAACGGTGAAAATAACAACAATAATCATAATAATCATAATAATAATAGTAATAATAGTAATAATAGTAATAATGATTCACCATTATCTAACGTATTTCGTAGTAAAAGTATTTTTTCCAAAACTTTTTCAAAATCACATAGAAGATCTACGAGTCTTGATTCATCTGTGATTGTTGAATCTTCAACATATCTTCGACCAAACATTAAACAAAAGTGAGTCGAGGGAGGACTAATAATATTAGTGATATTAGTAAGAGGATTAATGAGATTAGTGATATTAGTAAGAGGATTAATGAGATTAGTGATGGTTATAACAACAAGATCATGATACTACAAATGATAAAATGTTTTATGATAATTCGGTAGTGACTGGATATTAATGCCATCCTACCATAAATATAGTTTAGGAATGGTTAATTAATCTTATGAATTCTTTATTGAATTTCTTTATAAATCCTTTATCGAAATTCTTTATTAAATTCTTCCTTAATTCTTTATTGAATTCCTTATGAATTTTTTATGAATTCATTGTATTTTTGTAACAACTTTCATTTATCTAGATTACTTGATTAATTTTAGCCGTTTGTATATATTTTTTTAGACCAACATACATACACTCATTTTATTCATTCACTTCAATCATTTATTCAATCATTTAAATCAAAATCAAATCAAATCATTTCAATCAATCAATCAATCATTTATTCAATCTTTTTAATCGATCAATCATTCGTTCGATTATTTGATAATTCATTCGTTTCAACCATTTTACAAATTATATTGTATAAATATTTCACATTTAAAAGAATATTTTAATATTCACAAAAAGAATATTTTCCATTCATATATAAATACTATAACGTTTTTTATTTACGCATTTAAATTGTTAGAGGATACAGAAAATTTATTTTGTTTGTAAAAAAAATAAAAAAAATAAAAAAAATAAAAAAAAATAAAGAAATTATTTAACATTAAAAAATTTCAAGTGTGTGAGAATTTCAAGTCAATTCCAAGTGTGTGAGAGTGTGTGACGAATTATAATTATCAAGTACTGAAGTATGAAGTATGGTAAAACAAAATTTAATTAAATGTAACACATACTTAAACATTAAATAAATTTTGATCAACTTGCTTGACTTTATCGTAACCGAAAAAAAATAGTTTTTACTACTACCTCAAACTATGGGAAGACTATCATTGAACATTAAAATTAGAAATTCATCAAATCCTGATAATTTTGAACCGGAAACAAGAGAATTAATTATTCCTTCAAATGTTACATGGAATAAATTAGAAAAAGAGGTTATTTATTTTATACTTGTATGAATGATATATAATTTTTTTTTAAATTCTATTTTGAAATTTATTCAATATAAATTATTTTATTTTATTACAATTATTTAATAGATCCGAACATTATTTTCCAAAATTAATCCAAATGATGAAATTCAATTAAAATATCGTGATTTCGAAGGTGATATGATTCATATTTCATCAGATGGAGAACTTTCAAGTGTATTGAGTACATTGAATGAAGACCAAGTGATGAAATTTGACTTGGTTATTAAATCACAAGTATATATTAACTAATTAATTGATTGATTGAATGTTAAATCTCAAAATTCCAACATTCCAAATTTCCAAGTTTACAAGTTTACAAATTTACAAATTTTTCGTGTAAATTTTAAAATATCAGTTTGAAATAGATGACAAATTTGTTGATGTCACTAAGAATATTTTACATCAATGGCTTGACGAAAACTTGCCAAATCTTGTTGACAGAGTAACTCGCGAAGTTGTAAATTGTAAATATATATCAATTTATCTAATTTATCAATTAATATTTTTTATACACTAACATTAATAATTTAAATGATAACCATTTCGTAATATAAAAAGCGATTGATCGAAAAAGGAAATTATTCGCTCAAGATCATATCGATATATCAACTTCAACTTTAATCAAGAATGACGAGTACGAGTCAACTTCAATCAAGAATGACGAGAATAAAGTATTCACATATCCATCCAAAAAAATTCAAGGAAAAATTGGTGAAACCGTTGAAGTTCTTATCTCTTATCAATATTTAACATTTTCTCATGCATCTACGAAGGATGTTTGGGGTACTGGAATCTATACTCCTGATTCTGATTTGATTAAGGGTATGCATATTGCAATTAACGTATTATTTTTATTAGATACAGATAATATTTACATTTTGTTTTCCTATTATTATGATTATAATAGCGTTGGGTCATTCCGGTTCATTCATTCTTCCAAAGACATCACAACCAGATCATGATCTTTCAATTATTTTACGATTTTTACCCGGATGTGACAAATATTTAGGATCAATTAATAATGGATTAAAAAGTCAAGATTATAATAAATTTAACTTGAGCTTCGTTATCGAACATGTTAAACATTTACCAGTTAAGAATTTTTTTTATTTTAAATATCGATTATTCTAAAAAGAGAAACAATTATCTTTTTTTTTTATTTATCTTTTTATATACGTATCAATTTTTTAGAAAGGAAGTGTTTCGTTGTGATTAATTGATTTTCTTAAAGTGGATAAATTTAACAATTTCATTATATAATGATTTCATTATATAATGTATACATATCTTTAAAAGATAATAAACCCTTAAAATATTAAATAAAATAAATATCTACGTATTATCGTTATCAATCGATTAATCTTTGTCGTATGAAATTCAACGTAAAGAGTATTACTATTAACAATAACGTTAACGTTAAGTAAAAAACTAAATTCAATGGTCAATCAACAAATATTTAGTAAACATTCTATTTTTCGATTCTTTTTCTTTAATGTTTTTACTGTACGTACATTATACGTACGTATCGGTATGTATTTCGATTTACTATCACTATATATGTTCTTTTTTTTATTCCATATTTATCAATGGTAATAGCGATAGTACTGTACATACGTACACGTACATATACGTATCAGGTACGTATACATATCAATATAACGTAATTTCTAAAAGTAGATATTAGAATATTTTATTGTTATAAAAAGTAAATATGTTCTATCATATACGTAGTATGTCACCAAAATACCTGCGATTTCATATCTGCACTTCATAGTCGAGTATGTAATACCACACTTTTGTATACCATAATTTTATGTATACCCAGACTGGACATGATCATGGACAAACCTAAAGTTATGTTTTATTAATAGTAACAGTAAATAAACCAATTTTTTTGAGAATTTACAAATCAGCAGGAAAAAAAAAAAAAAGTATGGTTACATTAAATTATTTTAAGTGCATGTACAGTACTCACCAAAAGTCTTGGCAAAAGATGACTATGCAAAACTTCTTGTCTTCATTAAACATTTGAAACATGAAAATTAATACTTACTAGTTGAATAGAATATTCTTTAATCATTATTAATACCAATAATAATATACAAATGTTTCTAAATAAAAATTTCACGTCAAAAAAATGTCACATTTATAATCATAAATAATTTGTATCATTTCATGTGATTCTTAACTCAAATACATACTACGTATAACTTTTCTTACACAGGTGCGGGGAAACTTTTGTAACTTTTGTAAATTATTAATTAAAATTATTAATTATTTTCATGATCATGATCAGTAACAGTAACAGTAACAGTAACGGTAATGCATATGCAGCAAATCGTTACTTTAGAAGTAATTATCTAATTTGCACGAGTGATACAAGTACAAAAAAAGATTATTTACATACGTGCATTCGTACGTACGTACAATACGTAGCAAATCAGAGAGTACGTACGTACGTACGCAAATAAAAAAAAAACCGAGTATTTGAATCTGCTTGTAACACTAATTAAAAATGTCAATTCTGACATTTTACATATAGGAACTCGTTACGTATTTTCTTTAGAGTCGAGAACTCTAACGTTCTAACTAAAAAAATCTTGGATTAGATTTTTATCACGTCTAAAATAGAAATAGAAACACGTGAAATTGGAGATTTCTAATTGGTTTTATACTTTGAACGAATATATCTTGGAAATAACTGACAAAAAAATTGCTTTTTTTTTTTAATTATACACATTATTATAATTTAAAAAAAAAAACCTGTTATACCGAATTCTATTAGGTGATTACCGAGATATATTCGTTTTAAACGTCTAATAAAATCGAAACCATCTTGAACTTTGAATGATTATATCTCGGTAAACACCTAATAGAATTCCAATTCTATGAGTCAATAGAATAAAATATAAAATTTTTCATTAGAATTTTATTAGGTGTTTACCGAGATATAACGTTAATCATTCAAATCTTAAACGCTTAACAAAATATAATTTTGGAAGTCATATAAGTCATAATAAAATTAATTTAAAAATTTTTAAATCAAAGATATCTTGGCAACTATCTAATAAAATTCGATTCGATAATAAAGATTTTTTTTTTTCGAAAACGAATCGGATCCAAATTTTGGATCCGAAACTGTTTCACAGATCCAGATCCCATTCGGATCTATCCTTCTTTGATAAATGATTGAAAAAAAAATTGAAAATGCAAAAAAAAAAAAAAAAATCGGAATGAAAGAAACAAAATAAGTTTATTATCAGATTATCAGGGTTGGTGTTTTTTTTTATACTTTATTGGGTGTTTCACTCTACTTTAGTTCTTTCCTTTATTATTCCATTGAGCATTTTTAATATTAACCTTATAAGCATACATATTTAGTAACTATAACCGGTGGTGATCATCGCTAGAAACAGGGGTCAGATATACTAAGTAAAAAAAAATGATCAGACCCCTGAAAACCCCCTGAAAACCCCGTGTAACCTAAAATTTGCACTTCTTCAGACAGAACAATGTATACGTAGCATCATTTGCTATGAGAGGTAATGTTAAAAATTACATTATATAGACCGCTTGTCTTGTTTTATTTATGATGCTCGTACTGAGTTAGCTAAACATAGATCGTTGATCCGATGATATCAACCACCACTTAGTCTACCTTAGTTGAACTGTTTTCTGCGAATTTTAATTTTCTGTGCATTTGAACACTTTCATTTTAAATACTTTCTTCTTGAGAATTCATTATTTTTTTTAGGAAACTTAGATGTGAGAGAAATTCAATTTTTTTTATAATTTCTGAAAACATAATAAGCTTTATTTAAATAAATAACTTATTAAACTATTAAAAATTATGATAAATGATAACATACATGATTTAGTTAAACGAAAGAAGTTAAATAAACTATAAGATTGGCAATATTTGTTTAAACGATAAATAAAATTCATAAGAAGCTCAAAATTACCATATTTTCGTAAGATAATGCGCAGAGGTGTAATTTCGAATTTTGGACTAAATTAAATTTAATTCAGGTCATTATTCAAAACTAACACACATGCTCGTTATTTCGTAAATGTAAAAACGAAAAAAAACAGTTATTACTGTATTAAAATACGAACGAATTATAATAAAAAAATGTATCAAGAAATTAATTGATTTATATTTATTCATAGATTTATTTTTAATTGATTTATATTTATTCATAGATTTATTTACTTAATTCTATTTCGTATTTATAGCCTACTTCATCAGCTTCTTCCACTATTGCCTTATGCCAAAGGAACAAACTCTTTTTAAAACTAAGACTTGTAAAATATTATGAGCAGTTTGTTTTTCATTAGCAATATACGAATCAAGATCATTAATAAGAAATTTGATTGATCTTCGTCAGAATGAATGATTACTTGGTACACTTGAGCTTTTATAGTTCGTTATACTTATTATAAATTCTATCATATATAAGACGAACACAGATATACGAATCATCATTCCAAATCACACTACAAGTAAATAAATATCTTTTTTTTACTTCCAAATTTGACAAACGTAAACGAAAAAAAAACAGAGTTATTTGATAAAAAGCATCTAAAACATTGTATGGCTTGTTGTATTCAAGAACTTTGATGTATCTTCAAAAAGAAAAGAATATTCTAAACAGGTTGTATCGGCTTCTTCCTTGTCATCTAATTCAAAGCGAAAATAAATAATGAGCTTATGGTTCACGATATGCATTAGGTGCCGTTTTGTTCAGATTGATACTTTCTACAACGGACATAAGCAATCAAATTATAAGAAGTAGTGTTTAATTTTAAACATTTTTGAAAAAATTGTTCATCCGTTACTATCACATCTCAAAAAAAGGACAAATTCACTAAAAAATAAGTTGGAGTGTTTTTACTTAAATCAAAAACAATGAAGCAAATTTTATTAGGCACAATTATTTAAACATAATGATTCTTGTTTACAAAAAGTTCTCTTATTTACTTTTGGTTATAAGTATAAATTATAAAAAATACTAATTCGAAAATAAGAAAATACTAATTCAAAAGTAAGAAAATACTAATTCAAAAGTAAAAAAATACTAATTCAAAAGTAAGAAAAAAAAATTTATCGTATTCGATAATAACCTAAAAAAAAAAAAAAAAAAAAAATTTAATAAAATAATTAAAAAGTATGCCAATATAATGCCGTCATATACATGGTCTAATATTGCTTCCGCCAAACACTTCTGAGAAGCTGGTACCTCCAACAATAATTAGACAACACATAGTGTTAACATTAAACATATATTTACTAACTTTAAAAATATTAGAAATATAAAATATGTCCAATATTTCTTAAAATTTTTGAACATATGTTATAAAACTTTGCACTTTATTAAAATATAAAATACAAATATTTTATTATAATTTGATTTTCTTAATAACTTTTTCGAATTTTTTAAATAAAATTTCAAATACTCCGTTTTCTAATGTTGCAATTGGGTCATCAACTAGGTCAATTCTGAAGAATCAACTAGGTCAATTCTGAAAAATCAACTAAGTCAATTCTGAAAAATCAAAAAAGTTAATGCATAAATATTAATTATTTTTTAAAAAAATAAATTCTTACCCAAATGGTAACAAAATCTCAACTAATTGTTTTTCTGATGGAAGTTTGTCAACAATTTTCATATATTGGTGATTGGTGGTAATATTGTATTCAATATGTAATTTACATTTGGAGTTTTGTTCAATAGTTAGAAAAGCATCGATCTCAGACTTTAGTTTGACGGTTGCTGTAAATAATTCTACAATAAACCGATCACTATAAATATTATAAATAAATGATAAATATTAAAAGTATATATTTACAATGCTAATACTACATTCACATATAAAACCAAGACTAGTTACATCAATTAAGAACAACCAATTTCTCATATGAATTCAGTCAACTTAATAAGTGGTAACAGCCTCATGTTTTCATTAGAGATGCGGTAGAAACTGTTGCGGCTTAGTTCCGATGTAAAACGTAACAGTTCCTACCGCATATCCAGTTTCTAAAAACAAAATACTGAAATACCTTCTATTAACTTCAAATAAAATAGTTATCGTCTCTTCGTCTTGTTATCGTCTCTTTGTTTTGTTATTGCCTCTTCGTTTTGTTATCGTCTCATCATCTTGTTTTCGTCTCTTCGTTTTGTTATTGTCTCTTTGTTTTGTTATTGTCTCTT